AGATAGTAGGGCACACTCTATGAAGCCATAGTGGAATACAGAGTTCATAACATGGTAATGCATGCTGTATGAATTAATTAAACTGCATTACTTACAAAGACAATGCTAAGCTAGTATGACTACACATCACTCTCTGCCAATACAGAATATTTAAGAGATCCTAGATATCATTTAGGCTGCCAATATAAAGACAAAGACAAGTGATATCAAAGAATTCAGGTTCACCAAGGATTTTATCAAGGGACATGTAGTGCATAGAAACTGCAGGAAAACAAAATTTTTGATTCTGAAAAATCAGGACATTTCATTAGAAGATGAAAGCTGTAATCAGAAGAGTGCTGTTCTGACAGTAAGGAGCAGGTCTCTGTTCTATTAAGTGACCATGAGGTAATCTTCTGTGGCTAATACCCAACCAAACTTGTTTTGGTGATAGGTGAAAGGTCCAAAAGGGAATAAATCCCGTTTGATGGTGCATAATTCATTACTAGAAGCATCTTTCTCCTATACTGACCTTTAACTTTCTTCTCTTGCACAATTAAATTCATTCGCACTCTTTTTGCAATTCCTCTTAATTTTTAGCAAGACCAGTCTCATGTGCATGAAGGCATGTCAGTAACAATTTATCTGTAATAAACAACCTCAGTAATGAGCAAAGACATGGATACCTTATTACAGAGAGTATCCTTTACTAGTAATAACCTTGTAGGCCATATTGGTTATGATACTGCTGTTGTGCAATATTGTGGTGATGTATGCTGAATGAAACCACTGTGTAATAAAAATAAAGACCTCACAAGCTTATGTTTTATGCTCTCTTATATCTGGGTCTTATCAAGGTAGACAATAATGGTTTTTACTTTTTTTTGTTACCATCAAGAACACTTCCATTGTCAAAACTTACTTGATACTTCCACTAAAACTCAAAGTGGCAACATAAGCATCCTCAGCCAAAACCTCACTTGCCTTGACATTTAAGTACCCTTTATCAAGATTGCTTTGACAATCTCCACACAGTTTCTGCAAACAATTGTCAATCACATGCTCATCTAATTACAATTTAGTAATTGGGTACCAGTCTGTAATCTCATTAAGCAGTGTAGGTGCTAGAATCATTAAATAAATTTTAGTTTTATCAGTCATAACTGTGCCCAGGTTATGACCCTAGGATGTCAGAATGAGACATGTACAGTACAGTATATTCAACACTAGTCAAACTGAAATTTTACCTAAAGTTAAAGCCCCCCAAAAATTCATATTATCCACTATGGTTATCTTGAGATGATTTCGGGGTTTAGTGTCCCTGCGGCCCGGTTCTCGACCAGGCCTCCCCCCCAGGAAGCAGCCCGTAGCAGCTGTCTAACTACCAGGTACCTATTTACTGCTAGGTAACAGAGGCATCAGGGTGAAAGAAACATTTTGCCCATTTGTCTCCGCCTCCACCGGAGATTGAACCCAGAACCTCAGGACTACGAATCCGAAGCGCTGTCCACCCAGCTGTCAGGCGATCATCACTGTCTCTCAACAAGAACATGAAACCCAAAATTAGTGGGTAACTCATCATACATTACTTGATTAGTCTTCATTTTCTGTTAGGAAGTCAGTTGAGCATCTTTATGCTTATACTACTAGTCATGGTAAAAAGACTTCTCTACCACTCAACTCTGGAAAATAAACAAATGACAGTACAATAGTTTCCTTTATGGACAACAGGTGTTTTCAAAATATCTTTCAAGTTGCTATCTTTTTATTGATTACAACAAAATGTATCGATCTTATATACGAGCTTCTGAGTGTTAAGAGACATGTACCACAGTGCAAATCTTTAGTTCGTAACAGAAAATCTGAAAATGTTACGTCTTATTTCACAAGGAGACAGATAAGTAGTATAGTATATTAAGTACACTTTAAAAAATGAACAAATTCTTTCATTTATGGAGTACATTTAAATTTTAAGTGTATTTGTACAAGAACATCAACACAAACATAAGACGGTCTTCAGTTTTGCCCCCGATGGTGCCATAAACTGAGTCTGGAATAAAAGGTCTGGAATAATCAAGGCCACAACCTTGAAATAATCCTATTGAGGATAATGTGGACCTTGAATATCCACATACCTATATGCAGCAATTATGCCAGCACATTTATCAACTAAAAATTCAATAATAATTCTTCTAACTAAACCTTCAAGTGAAGTAGGAGAAATGGAGCTACATAGATAACTATGACTTGATATTTCATTAACAGCAATGATGGAACTTAAAACTTCCAACACTTCTAGCAATTTCCTGAACCTGAACCATTAGGTAAATTATTAATGTCAGACTTAGTTCATTCTAAAGTGCTGCATTAGTTTGTCAAAGAAATAGCCGCCTCAGTACCTGGACTACAGGATTTAAACGATAAAATAAAATACTATGCAGTTGTATGTGCATATAAATTTTATTCTCTTAAGGAAAAAAACCCAGTAAGGTGAGATTAAAGACTCAAGATGCTAAAAAATAATAAATAAAAACTTCTAACCAGTTTTGTACTTTCAGAAGTAAATAAATTATGTTACTTTGAAGAGGGACACCAAAAGAACTGAATCACGCAACATCTGTGTTCCTAGGAAGTTGTGACTCTTGATACCTAATGTGTGGCACATTTTCCACTACATTTTTCTGATTACTGTTATTCAGATTAAATACATTTAAATTAATACACTTAGATAATTGTATGCATATAATGTGACTCTAAGATTCCAAACCATCTTATCTTGAGGTTATCTTGAGATGATTTCGGGGCTTTAGTGTCCCCGCGGCCCGGTCCTCGACCAGGCCTCCACCCCCAGGAAGCAGCCCGTGACAGCTGACTAACACCCAGGTACCTATTTTACTGCTAGGTAACAGGGGCATAGGGTGAAAGAAACTCTGCCCATTATTTCTCGCCGGCGCCTGTGATCGAACCCAGGACCACAGGATTACAAGTCCAGCGTGCTGTCCGCTCGGCCGACCGGCTCCCTTACCTTACCTTACCGACCATAACAATTTCTTTTTTTGACACTTCATTTTTAACAGTAACAAAATGTATTTTTTTAAATCTTATACAGAAATAACTAAATGCCTTATCACCTCTTCTGCTACTTTGAAAAATAATGATCACAGAAAACTCACTCATTTACAAATTCAATGGTATTAAACACTTGCTCAAATTAAGCAGAATCATCATCATCATCTTAAGGTCACAATAGACCAGAAACCAGAAATATTGTCTTTAAATTTAGACAGATGGCAGAAAGCATGGTAAATATTAATATTATGTGTGTACAGGTATTTCATTAATGTACAATATACAGTAATTTTAGCAATAAAGCACTGAAAATCAGCAGTATTTAAAAATACAAAAATGATGGAAAAATTCCTTTAGCTGTACAGTATCTATAATCCCTATTTAATTCCCTTGTGTGAACAATTTGGTTTATCTCTGAACTTAGGCCACTCGAATGCTCCCTTCGAGAATATTCCCCTCCCCCAATGACATTGCATACACTACATACAGGGACAATTGCCTGGCTCCAATGGCCTAAATAAGGGAAAAGGAGACACTGGAAACTTTTGATCCAGTCCCAAATGACAGAAGGTACATTCCTCAGCACTCAAATGTCTGCTCCCGGCAAAACTTTAAATAAAAAAAAACTATAAAGTATTTATCTATTAATATTAACTAACAACTGCTAGTTGACTGCCTGGCTGCCTCTACTACCTGCCTAAAGTATACTTGATTCAACAATATCTGATTTTAGTGAAAGTTGTGGCAACAGTGATCTTGTTGATAATGGTGCAAGTGGCTGTGGTGGAGAAAACCTTTCATGCTGTCAATTAAAAGCAAACTTGCTGCTGCAGGCTACTTAATGTGATACAAATAGGCTTACATGGATCTTACATAGAGGGGGTTTTGGGAGTTCTACTTCCCTAGCCCAGCCTGGGGCCAGGCTTGACTTCTGATTGCTTGTTATAATGAGATTTGTACTGACTGTTGATCACTGTGTAAGCTATATACTGTATTATAACTGAGGTGGGGAGAAATTTATTTGCAGATGGAGCAGCAAATTTTATGACAAGATACTACATTTGATGAAAATAATGTTTGCTCATTTTATTGATTGTGGAATCTAGTATATTATCCATCAGAATATGAAATGATCTCCTATAACAGTAAGTGAAGTCAGATTGTGGTAGTGAGGGTGTGTGGTAAATTGACACAAAGCTGTGTTGTACACACTCACTGTCCGAGCTGTTAGTTGGAGAATATTTGGTAGTACAAAATCTGATTTGAACGGAAATGGGTCATTGTGAGGCTATGTGATCTTGTTGCTAATGGTGGGGAAGGGTGGGAAATGTTCATATGCTAGTACAGTAGTAGTACGGCAAGTGTGAATGCTTGGCAGGAAAGAGATATACGGTCTCTACATCAGTGGTAGTGCTGTAGAGAACTGTCTCTCTACATTAGTGGTAGTGCTGTAGAGAATTCTCTCTCTACATTAGTGGTAGTGCTGTAGAGAGCTGTCTTTGTCAAATAGATCAAAATTGCTGTATCATTGTCGTAATTTGTACTTAGTGTGATGTCACTGGTGATACTATGCTAGTAGTGTTGGTGGGTGCAAGTACAAGAAAGCAAATACTTGATCTTTTACCACTTGAGTGATGTAATAATAATGTACGGAGGCACTAATAAACCATATCTGCACCAAGAAAGGCCGTGACAAATGATGACATCTCATTCTTCATCAGTAAGGAGGGATTAAGACAGAGGCAAACACATGATTGTGACAACTGATCACAAAGACAGGACGATAAAGTTATGCACAAATTTAATTCATACGGTTATTGGTAGCTAATGGCAATAGAAAGAGACACTCAGAAGTAAGGTGTTAACTTTCAGCAAGCAATTACCAATAACAGTAGCAGAAAAATACTTGGCAGTCTCCCATCTTTCAGGCTTGAATGAGGTATTGTACATATATACAAGCATTACAGTGTGTGTGTGTGCGTGCATGTGCGCATGTATTTACTATTTGTGCCTGCAGAATCGAGCTATTAGCTCTCAGACCTCACCTTTCTAATCAATCTACATTTCCTCTATTATATCTACTACATACATTTCTCTCTAACACATGTGTACACACACATCCCCATGAAGCAGCCCATAGCAGCTGTCTAACTCCCAAGTACCTATTTACTGCTAAGTGAACCGAGGCATCCGGGTGACAAAAACTCTGCCCATTTGTTTCCGCCTCTGCCGGGAATTGAACCCGGGCAATTAGGACTACGACTCCCAGGCACTATCCGTGAGGCCTCCAAGTGTGTGAGTGTGTAGATAAAGTACCTTGTTGGTCATTTGAGGCTGAATCAATTTTCCAGTCTCTCTCTTTCCCCTTACCTGGTATGATGGGAGTAGTTTGAAAAGACTCACACTGGAGTAAACAATGCAAAGAGCGGGATATTGCCTAAGGAAGCGACTGAGTGACCAACTCAGAAAGAAGTATTTCATCTACGCTAAAATGATGCCACTTTTTGTCTTCTTGGTTTTAAGACATCGGTTATGAAGAGTCACAATATTGGAGAAGAAATTAGCAAGATTGGAAACCTAGGCATAAACAGCCCAGGTTAAAGACACTGCAGATAATAAATACAAGCATGACACTTTTGTACAATACTTATCACTACATATATGTAAACTATATACAGCGTATATTCATAATATGTACATGTACAGAAATAGAAATTCCTACTATAATAAACAGCTTAATTTCAAATATACTGTACTGATGTCTAATGAAAAATATTTATGGAAAATAAAATAAATGAATCATTTGAAGATCCAGTACAGAAATTTCAAACTACAGTACTGTATATAAATTTCAACTTGATCAACAACTTGGGCACTAAAAAACCTAAAAAAAAAATCCTGTACAATAATTTTTGTCCATACCAATACTGCACACAGAAACCAGCCATGAAACAGCACATGTGCAACAAGGATTGCTTACTCTTACTATTATTGACTATGTAATCTCACTGCAATATTTACAGTATAATCATACTCTCAGCACTATTTACTGTATAATCTTACTCTCCGCATTATTTACTGTACAGTCTTACTCTCCGTGCTACTTACTGTATATTCTCTCTCTCTCCACACTACCTACTGTGTGGAGAGAGTCTTAATACAATCTTAACCTCTGCGTTACTTACTGTATAATTTCTCTCCGCACTACTTTGCTGTGTAATCTTACTTTCCATACTACTTACTATATAATCTCTCTCCACACTATTTACTGTATAGTCTGACTCTCTGTACTTTTCACTGTAAAGTTTACTTTCCTGCTATCTACTATGCATATCCTTACCCACATGATCTATTACATGTACTGTATTCTCAATGATCAGTTAAATATGAGACAATGTTTTCTTGTAAAGGTTAGTTTACTAGCAAAAAATGCTTTTCTAAAAGCACACTGAACTGATATAAAAAATAATTATAAAATAGGATGATGCAAATTAAACGGAGATGCGAGTTCTTTTACTATTATCTACAGTTTGTTTTACACACAAATCACACTCAAATTTGCTCATATAGTAGTTTCTTCCACTAATATCTATTGCTTATAGTTTCTCCTGTTATCACACAGTATACAAAACCATTTTTCCCCATATCACTTATAGCAAAAATGCACCAAGTCTTCAGTGAAAAAAATGACTGGTCAAGTCCTATTAATAAGTACAGTGGTGCCTATTTTCGATGTTTCCGTCTCGCCCCGTGAGATTTGGAGGTATCCGGAGCAATGTAAATCTTACCACCTTGAAGTTCTGGATTACAGTTGACAGTAGAGAGTGCTTCAAGGTGAGCCATGACGTCCACTATCTGTGACTCCAGCTCAGCTATTCTCTGTATGGAACCATGTTGACACGTTAAACAGTAAATGTCTACCATATCAGTTCATTCTTAAGCTAATTATCATAACATACGCACAGATGCCCCTCAGCAAATATAATCTTTGTATATATATAATTATATACAAATAATGTATATAATCTTATATAAAGATTATATAAGACTATATAAGCAATATAGTCTTTGAAATCTCGAAGCTTGATAAAAAGAAGGACATGCAAAATGGGAAAAAATTTGGCTTATGGAAAATATTTAGTTATGTAACAGACATCTCTAAAAGTCATAATTTTGAAACAAATTTAACAAAACTTTCAGCCAGTGTTGCTTCTTCACACTATCCACTTGTACAGTATTTCAATTACAACTTCATATGTTAAATTATTTTGAGTTTTAAATTTTTAAAAATTAAAAATCTAAAAGATGCATAATAATAATGATGTACATGTAGATCCATAGCAAACATAGAAACAAAACTAGCTTGCCATATGGCTGATTGCCATGTGCTGGTTTATTGACTATTGACAAGCTATTGGTATTGACTATTGGTTTATTGTTTATTGACAAGCCAATTTTGATCTTGTGGGAAGTAGATACTCGTAGTCATAGAATATCAGCAAAATAAACATTGGAAAAAGTTGCACTGGCAGGGGTTCTGTGTGACTCAAATTTTCACTGCGGAGACGAGTACTGTATTGTAATGTTTTAAATTATATACAGTTGTAGTACAATACATCTATCTAATTCAGTTTATGTGTACTGTAGGTGGGAGTGGAACATATTTTGCTGTAAAAATATAATAATTATCACTTCCCCATCTCCAAGTATCATAGGGTAGGGAGAGGCAGCCATTAGAAAAGCAATAGAAAAGTATAGAAAAAGTAAAAAAAAATTATGACATTCAATTTTTCATCCCACCATACCTGTTTGGTGCCACTGCAGGAAACTAGCACCATTACACTCGGGCAAAATATTAGCTGCAATATTTCAGTCATTTAACTAGGTATTCATTTCAGACTATGTGTTAAGTGTCCTGCAAATGTATAAATAAAACTCACCTGTTCATTACCTTCTGACAAAATCCTTTGAATTAGTCATATCCATTGAAAACTCTTGTGCACTACCATATACATGCATATCACATTTACCCAAACACTTGAATATCATACTTTCCAATCTTTCGACTTCTATTCCTACCCTCAAAATCGACACATACATTCTCTTAACTATATTTTTAATTACCCCTAAGTTTACTAAAGCCTTTCTTTCTCTTCTCAATGGTTCGAGATGCAAATTTTTACACCTCACATCCTGCAGTCCATAATTATCTCACTCTCTATCAAATTAAAGTTTTTTAAATTTCAAATAGTGAAATTTATACATCTTTGCCCACAAAAACTTTTTACAATCAATTGTTCAGTCAAATATCTGTCATGGCTTAGCCATGAATAACTTGGAAGGTAACCAAACAAAAAAATTGGCAAAAATTACCTCAAACTAGATTTCATCTTTACTTAGGGGAAAAAGTTCTATAAAAATCAACAATTAGATATCATGTGGATATGCTATTTGATATAGCAACATGTTTCAGAATTTGGAAATGAAACATGGTGCTAAAAATAAGTTGTATGTAAATATGCTGTTGGTTTACTAACTCAGATTTACCCTCATACCTTATCTTTTTGATCCAGTGCCGTCTGAAGATTGACAACTTTGGAGACCCATTCCTGCTTACCCTGGCGCATCGACAAGTTTAAATGCTGCTCTGTCTCCAGGTCTTTTGAAAGCTGTAAATGACACATTAATATAGCTTACAAAAGTGAGAACTGGGCATATAATATTTCAAGCGTTTTCTTACGTGAATTCCATAGTTTAATTTAACCAACAAAACAACAATAGAGATAAAATTCCAATGAAAATCTAGGGTAAATGAATGTAATGAAACACTGTTTCTGGCGGGCTGCTTGGTAGCTCCCGAAGCCACGATCTGGAAGCACCTAAGCCTTGAGATACAGTGGGGATTAAGGAAAACCAAATAACTAAAACATTCCAAAACAATCGATTTTCTTGGAATTTTTGTTTAAACCCCGATAAAAAACGTGCAAACAATCATTACCACAACAAAATCCTGCATAGTTCCTAAATTGAGGCAAAGCAATATTCACCCCAAAAGCAAGCAACAGGGGCTCCACAAAGGCCAAACAATACATAGCAATAATAATTACAATTCAATAAGTGCCAGGAGAGGTGATTTCACTACAGGACCAAAGACAGAAGACAAGTGTCTAAGAAAGAAGGAAAGGTGGAAAGCATGCCACACATCCTCACATACTGCCACCTTGAAGACAGCCACAAATGCAATACCAGAATGTCCACTACCAGAGCCTCATTCAAGTGATGCTAAACAAGGCCTAAAAATTCATTAAAGATGATCATTAAAGAACCTCATACCATAGTCTGATGCATCAGAGGTCCATGGCTATTCAATGCGCCATGGACCAGCCATGGTTATAATTCCAGCAAACATAATAAATATTGCCAGTACAAAGTGGATGTGTTGAAGAAAAAATTTGACATGTTCCTGCAAGAAGTACTCAATCAACTTGGTTGAAGTGGATATGTGGGCCTGCAGGCTGCTCCAAGCAAAGTCTGTTGGACCAAATTATCAGATCAAATCTGGCCCCCAGGCTAAGCTTGGAAAGTAGACCAACACTCAGGTCATACTCCAGGTAACAATTTAATAATGAAGGAGGAGGCGCCATAGAAATGAACCCCCAAAAAAGCATGAAGAGGAAAATGATTAATCATGACCCTCCAAGAGTAGAATCGGGACAACATGTCAGTCTCAACTGCAGCAAAATGGTCCAGACTGAAGAAACTGGTGTAAAGCCTTCAGCTAGAGCTGGCCCAGAGGGTATACCACACAGGTAAAATTCAAACTGCCCAACAGATGCTTGGAAGACTGACTTGATAGTTGGGAATTCCATAAAACAAGACAAAGACAAAGAAACACATTTAACAGAGCCAACTGCAGCAGGGAGAGGAAGGCAATCCTGACAACCCAGATCAGGCTCAACCAAAACTGAATCGGAGAGGGGTTCCCGCTGAGATTTCCAACAATTGATGAGAAACCCAAAGTAAGCCAATCGGGAAAGAACCCAATTCCTGGCTAGCACACAAGCTGAATAGCTGTTAGCTCAGACTCGCCAGATGTTAAGGCAGGCCAGAATGGGGGATCCCCCAACAAACAATGATGCCAAAGGACCATGCAACTCAATCTGGTGAACGTTATGGGTGACAGGTTCGACCCAAATGGAAGAGCCCAAAAATGATACAAAAGTGCCCTACTCTAAGCCTTGGGTAGATGGGAATATGTTAATATGCAACCCATAGATTGAGAGAAATGAGGTAAGAGCAACTCAACACCACTAGGCAGACCCAAGATGGAGTAGTCATCTGACATGTTGAGCAAAGACTGCATTGTACCAGTTATGATCTGAAACATCCAGAATGAAGCAAGGCTCTGGAGTATCTCACTCTGAAATAGGGAAACAGACAGAAAATCCAGATTAAGGATGACATCACTGCAATGATACCCTTCCCCAACAAACTGAAATTAACTTTGCAGAGGACTTCGTCCTGCTTAGATGGCTAAGCAGGACTCCAAGTCACCACATATTGTAAAGTCAAAAGTTGACAATGGACCCAGAAGAGCAAAGTGCCACAGGTTACAAATCAAACTTATGAATAAGCTGATTGGCTAGCCAATCAGCCTGGGTTGTCGTAGCTACCATCTTGTGGTGGTTAAGTGTATCTAAGAGGTAATTTTGCTGCAGTAATGATTAATTGCATAATTTCTGTGTGTTACAAATCTTTTTTTCCTTTTTTTTGGCACAGGCCTGATGTATCCCTCAAGGCTTGGTTGCATCCAGGCTGTGCCTTTGGGAACTACTGAGTAGGTTGGCCCAGAATTTTCTTTCATTTTGTTTTTAAATTTCATAAAAATAAAAGAACAGAGAATGATACAGAGGCCTATTGGCCCATGGAAGGTGGTTCTTATTTAATTAGTAGGAAATAGTTCCACATACTCTACTTATTTTCTGAGTCATCTGCTGGAGCTTCTTATCTTGGGATTGCTTGTCTCGAGTGACATTGAGCAATTCTTGCTTCATTTTCTGCAATTCCATTGAAAATCTCTTTGCCTCAGATCTACTGTCTTCAGCCTGGAATAAATGTTTACCAAATGTAAGCATGATGTGTTAGCTATAAAAACTATCAAACTTTCCCAACCATATTGATGACAAAGAGAAACTACTATGTATGGTATTGTTTACATAAGCATAAAAGGGGATTTAAGGAAATGTTCTCCTAAAGTGTTGCAAAATGTTAGTAACCCTCAATAAAAATAAAAATAGTTAAATTAACAATTTAAACATTTATAGCAAGCAAACAAACAAAAAACACACACACACAGAGGCTGAGTGGACAGCGCTCTGGGGTCGTAGTCCTAAGGGTCCGAGTTCGATCCCTGGCAGAGGTAGAAACAAATGGGCAGTTTCTTTCACTCTGGTGCTCCTGTTCACCAAGCAGTAAATAGGTACCTGAAAGCTAGACAGATGCTACAGGCTGCTTCCTGGGAATGTGTGTGTGAGTTAGAGAGAAATATATGTAGTAGACATAATAGAGGAAAAATAAATTGGTTAGAAAGGTGGGGTTCAAGAGCTAAAAATTCAATTCTGCGGACACAAATAGTAAATACACACACACACACACACACACACACACACACACACACACACACACACACACACACACACACACACACACACACACACACACACACACAGAGGGAGAGTAAATCTTGCCTTACAGGCTTAATAGAATTCTGCGATCAGGTAACAAAGATTAAGTAAGAAAGAGAAGGATGGGCGAACTGCATCTTTTTGGACTGCCGGAAGGTCTTTGACACAGTACCCCATAAATGGCTATGCATAAGCTGGAGAAACAGGCAGGAGTAACTGGTAGGGTGCTCCAGTGGATAAGGGAGTACCTAAGCAATAGGAAGCAGAGATTGACAGTGAGGGATGAGACCTCAGACTAGCGTGAAGTCACCGGTGGAGTCAACCCATGAAATCAGGAGGGGGGGGGGGGGGGGGTCAAGTTTATAAACAAAATCTTACATACAAGGCCAAGAAAATAAGGTCAATGAAGCTTGGTATTAACCTCCTGCAAGGCCTCAGCCTGTGCCTCAGAAATCTTATTTTCAAAATACTGTCTCTGAGATTCCAGTTGGGAAGACAACAGGTGTGTATATTCAAGTTGTAACGCTGTTAGTTTTTCTTCTCCCTGCACCATTTCCTCCTTGGTGTCTCCAACTGGAGATGATCTTTCATAAGAAACAACCTGAAACATGAAAACAGCAAAGACTGAAATATGTATAGTGAAGGTCAACATAAAAATACGTGGAAAAAATATATAGTACAGTATACTGTATATATTTATACTACATAAATTATTTTTATGTTATTTATTATCACAGCCATAGAATGGTGACTGCAAAATCAAGCAGACATTTTAATTGCTGGTCAAACTTTTGCACATTTTTAAGGCTTGGGTCAAAATGGCTGGAGTGTAGATTGGACAACTGTCTAGGGAACATTTTTATGGAGAAGATCCAGGATACTACAGTATTTAGGAACATTTGATTTTGTGTCAATGGGACATTTTATGAAATACGATTATTACATGAAGCATACTTGTATTTTATACAGCTCAAAGTTGTATTGTGACATGAAGACCAAACTACGGCAGGTTGGGTAGAGTGCAATTTATTGTGATAATATGACTGTCACAATTACTACCCAGGGGCCACCACAGTAATAAATCCAGCACTGGGTCAAAACGTTACAAATTAAACTAAAGCTCACAATGACATGAAACAATAAACAATTTGTATTATTATTTGAATATTACAGGACAATAACCGAGTCCAAAGATAAAGGGAAGAAAATGTATCTTTTTCTGGGACACTTTAAACTCTAACGAGTCCTGTATTACTCTAGAAAATGATGTTGAATGTCTAAAATCATTGTTAAAACAATTAACTTACTGGACTAGCTGTCCCAGTTTGCATTTTGTATGACAACAAAAGAGGGAAGCACTATGCACCTTACAATACAAAGTACTGAGGTATTGTTTGGGATAATATGATGAGGTGTGAGGGTAATGTTTTCTCCATGTAATGTAGTGTAACACTGGCAGAAAATGGATCACAAGGCAGGCCAAAGTACCACTAACATGGGTAAAAAATAGTACAGTAATTTTGTTTAATATACTGTATATATACAACTAAAATGAAGTAAAAAAAAATGTACGAGTGTGTGCTAGGTTATAAAGAGGAGCTGCATATCGAGCGGCAATAGGCCTTGACACTTATATAAACTAAATATTCTTATACCAATAGTATACATTTATAATTAAAAATAGGTTGCCTCTTTCCATATAAAATTCCAAATTATAATAAGACAATAAGAGGACTATTCACCTTGCCATCTCCCTCACTCTGCAGTAAGCGATGCACATAGTTATCCCTCACGTAGTCCCAGACTCTGTTGTTGCCTACTTGCAGTGCAAAGAGGTGGTTTGTCTCCATAAAGTGTCTGAAAAGTAAATTACACACACCAATGACTTTTGACTTTTTAAAAACAGTTATAAGGCTTTTATGATAAATTATGTAGGTGCTACTGCCAAAAGTGACGCGTGTTATTTAGTCATAAGATCTGTGCGAGATCTTATTTAATAAGGTATCCAACTGTTATCACCATTTCTCATGGTGACTTTATTACAGCACTAATTGTGGTGTAAGTAAAAGGGGAAGCAAATGTTTAATATTTCAAGGTCCTTTAGCTTTTATGTTTAGCCCTTGTCGGCTATTTACACGAACGCTTAGGAGCCATCTACTCACCTATGTGCATGGCCACCAACATATCGCCCGCAGCCCACATGACCACATATAAGACAAATCCAAAGTGAGTCTGCTGCTCCACACAGTGAACACCTCTGATCAGGCGTTTCTTCTGGAGTCTGACAGTACCGGCACACAGGACAGCTACACATGGGCAAAAAGCAACAATTTAAAAATTACATTTAATAATTACCATTTGTCTTTTTACCTCAGCATTTACTAAGTTTCTAACTTGTACAATACACACAAGGATGATACACACATATACAACACACTAACACTAGACAAAATACAGCAATATTACATTGACAAAAATATTAAAAGGAAACAAGGTTTCAGATTAATCACATTTCTAACTTCTACTTTTAACCAATGACCTGTGTATGTATAAGTATGGAAGTCTGTATAGATATAGATATATATGAATGTATATGTGTAATTACCTAAGTGTTGTTACAGGATGAAAGCTACGCTCGTGGTGTCCCGTCTTCCCAGTACTCTTTGTCCTATAACACTTTGAAACTACTGACGGTTTTGGCCTCTCACCTTTTCACTTAGCTTCTTCTAACCGCCTACAACTCTGTTTGCAAAAGAAAACTTTTTAAACAAAATTTCGGCTCTTTTGTCTCCCTAGATTGAATGTGTCCTCTTGTTCTTGAAGTTGCTGGTTTCAGGAATTCCTCTTTGTAAATTTGGTCGATTCCTGATTTGTAAGTGGTGATCATACCTCTTTTTCTTCTATCTTCCAGCTTTGGCATATTAAACACCTCTAACCTCTCCTCGTAACTCTTGTATTTCAGCTTCGGAAACCATTTCGTAGCATGCCTTTGCACCTTTTCCTGTTCACTGAAGGTCTTCTTGAGATACTGGTACAGTACCATACAACTGCTGCATATTCCAATTTTGATTTCACAAATGTTATGAACACTTTTCTTTAATATTTCATCATTCAGATAGTTAAAAACATTACATCTACTTCTCTTGGGTTGTCAAGTATAAAATTCTCTTAGCTTCATTCATTTCTTGACCAAGACAGAAATGCCTCGACCATTTCTAATTTTTCTGTCAAATCTCCAAATAGTGTAGCCTCTCTGGAATACCACCTCATTTAAAATGTTATCTTCCAGTTTCATCTCTGCTAGTGTAACAATATCTAGCTAGCATTTTAAACTGAATTATATCATTTAACTTCAGATTTTTGTTACCTTACCCAATCTATGCTAGCATAATATACACACTTTTCAGGAACATGTTCTCTCTCTCTCTCTCTCTCCTCCTTTGTCCTTCACTTTATTTTCCTGTCGATTTTGTTGGTTTACTTGTGTGTAGCATCTTGCATGCTTTAAACTTGTAGAAAAAAAATCTTCCTTCTTCATTCCTGCCTTCATTTAAGCATTTTGCTTTGTCAAGATTCAGTTTCTGTCTTCTTTTGAAAGACCTCATCTTAGTGACCATTGTGTCCCCATCTTCATTTTGCAATTTCCTGGCATTCCTAAGGACTTCTGTCACTTGTTTTACCCAATTTAATGTTACCCTTAAGTGGTGTCTTACCTTTTACATATTTGTCTATCCTCTATAGTGTCTTGACATTTTCCTTTGTGTGAGGTTGTCTCCTAAACCAACTATATTCTCAAAGACTTTTCCAATTCTGTTGCTTTATCCTCCCTAGATGGTATTTCCTTTTCCAAACACCCCAAAATTATTATGGTCTTACTTCTATCTACAGTGTTTTGAACTAATTTATTGTTGGTCATCAGTTCTTTCCTGTCTTCCAAATGTCAGTTTCTTGCTGCTTATTTCGGTTTTAGACATACAAAGATATTTCTTTGATTGTTTCTCTTTTACAACTTGTGCCTGTTTCTTTCATTTCCTTTTTTTTTTTTGCACTTTTCCAATCCTTTAGTAACTGCATCCATTTGAGTTGCACACGAAGTTTCTCTTAGTACTTCCATACCTAACTTCTTGTGTTAGCAAGCCTGTAATGGCTCTGAATTTTTCTCCCTATTTGTCTATTTTCCTGTTAACTTCTCTAAATTTACCCCCTCCTTTATTTTCCATGTCTTACATTCTTTCACTAGTTCCTTGATTTTTTCTTCCCGACTCCTTACTGTGTCAGTGAAGGTGGTAATTTCCTTCTCTTGCTGCCAATTTTACATTTACTTTTTAAAATCTTTATTTTCTTACAATTTAAGACATTTTCCTTCATAAACCTCTACCAAATCCTCAACCTTCACTAACCTAGGAAGAAAATCTACTTTCCCTATGTCTTCTGTAATGAAACTCTTGAAATTTTCTTCACTTAGTGTCACTGATAATCTTGTCGTCGCATCCACCATCTTTGACTCATCTACTTTGGTTTGGTAGTCCTACTCAAAATTTTTCCAGATTTGTATGTCTTTTTCAATAATCATCCCACTCAACCTTCTATCAATGATAGTATATTTTGGGTATCGGGGACATCACTTGTATAACTCTCTCCAACACTATCACCTAGATATGATGCAATGATCCTACAGCGCTCTAAGCCGTGTACATGTGTGCATGCGCGCATGTGTGTGTGCATGCAACTATCTACAGCAATGCAAAGAAAAAAAGTGCGCGCTAGGTGCAGCCCATGAGAAACACCTTGAACCGGGAGTTTAACAAAAATGTTAATTTCCCACTGTCAAAGTTTATTGCATGCATGTGATGTAAAAAAAATCAAGAGAATGGGCAAAATATTATGACAATGGCTGATGTATGACATGATTACCACAATCAACAGTACTTCTTTAACCTGAAAGGCAAAAGTTAATCAAATATCCTGCAAAACATGCAATAAATCTTGTCTCAGATTCACAGCAGGGTGGCATGTGCACAATTTATACATACTGTACATGTAAATTTTTTTTATTGTATGATAAACTAAATATTATATGGTGTTACAGCATCTTAACATGAGACTGCATTGGCCACCCTGCTGGATTGCAGATGACTGCAATACTAGTAAATTCTGCCATTCTTGAAGCACTTTTGTTCATCCGAAGCTGTTCTGCTCCCTTATAAATTCATTCCACCTTTCATTTCCATTCATTGTGGCTACTTATGTAATTGCTCTGCAGTCTCAAAGCAAATAATATTTTTAACATTTAACATTCCTCCTCATTTTGTATTGTTTTCAAAATAATCTTACACTTAGTTTTATAATTTGTATAAAGTTTGGCAATTCAAGGCACCTTGTTTTCTTTGATACAAAACTTCACCTCACTAGATTTTTTAGTGTAAAAAAATTACTTTTTCATTAAATTTTATATGGGGGTACTGGATACATCATTATTGCAATTTTCCATGCAAGGTTTAATTTACTTGAGTTAACGCAATCTGTCCAGAATAAATGCATCTATATTTATATGCATGGAGCAAAACACTGGGAATACACACTGCCCGGGACAAATGGCCAATGGCCTCAATAAGGTTTGGTGGGGTGCTTGTCTATGATAAAAACATAAAAGAGAATCATTTTCATATCATAAAATGGGGCAAATTAATTGTTTCATACCTGGGTTCTATTTCATGATCCTTGGAATCATTATGAAAAAACACATGTGATAGCAGAAGCTGTCAACCTCAAGAACCTTATTACTAACTAGCCATGATGATGATCATGTGTCTAATAAGAACTAACTTGACTACCTGTCACTTTCAATGGTAATCTTTCATTTCTTAAGCCACCTTAATGTGCCTGACAATGAACAGGCTAACTGGCATAATTAATATGACCGAACTATGATACTTGAAGAAAAAAACTCAAAAGAAGGGTGACACATGCAGAATTTTCTACTTACAATTAGGTTATCAACCATTTACACACCTGACAGTGGTTGCACCCCCCTAACACAGAGCAAGATACACTATACAGTAGTGCAGGCGATGAGTCACAATAACGTGGCTGAAGTAAGTTGACCAGACCACACACTAGAAGTTGAAGGGACGACGACGTTTCGGTCCGTCTTGGACCATTCTCAAGTCGATTGTGACTTGAGAATGTCACAACACACAATTCAAAAGAACACAATCGACTTGAGAATGGTCCAGGACGGACCGAAACGTCGTCGTCCCTTCAACTTCTAGTGTGTGGTCTGGTCAACTATACAGTAGTGATATATTAAAAGCAAATACACAGTACTGTAGTAGCAATAGTTATGTTTCATGGAGGAATTCAATCAACTTTTAAGGAACCTTTGTTTGAACACTTTTTTCTACAAACAAGACTTAAAGGAAAAAAAGAGGTCACCACTGAGAGGACTCACACCATAAACACTGAACACATATATAAGAAGGCTTTTCAACTGATCAAACTCCGAGTTACTTCCATGCCAAAGGTTAAATGTAGCCATGCTAGATCCCATGGCCCTTGTTAAGGACACAAAACCATCTTATATCCAGTCATGCACTTAATGAGAATTGGTGCCTAGTATTTACGGTACCCCATATCAAACAACAAAGTACGATGTCCCTGATGAATGCCTGCTACTCCAACCGGTACAACCATTTGCCCAATGTGTAATAAGCATCAGAAAAATATGCTGCTGAAGTGTCAATATGTGTAAGACATCAAATATTATTTGTCATGACTACATGAACTTCACAATACTATACTTTAATAACAAAATTAGGAAATACTTTGTTTCAAAAATTAAAATTTTCAAATAAGGAAAATTACTCTGGGAATGCTATTAGTTAAGATCATTTGTACCATTATGAAAAGAAAAACATAACCACATACAGTACTATACATGACAGAATCACAAAAATGCTGAAGCTTGCCATGAAACCATGGAAATCAAACTAGAGAAACTTTTGCTCATCATTTTTGTCCCAATGGCACTTGCCACATTTTAAACAATACATGCAATTTAAATATATATTGAACTAGCTAGTTTATGCGCTAAAAATCTAATTAAATTCAAAGGAAAATATAACAAAAATGACAATATCCACAAAGACTAAGATCTATCCTATGAATCATAGCAAACTCAGCTAAATGCTCAAGTAAACCTTATTTATAAATAAAAATCATAAAACAATTATTTCAATAAACAGAATTCAAAACTCCAATACTAAACCAATAATATATCTGCACGCCTTTACAGCACCAGGCAATTACATACGTCAGAGATTTGATGACACTTCAACAGCACATTACTCTTTTTTCCCCAAAAAAATATATATTCCCTAGTGCATAGTGCTCCATACAGAACATTGTCCAACTTACACGAGGACCTCTGCAGCGGTGTGGCTGTGTGTCGCCCACAGCAAGAGAGCTATTTTTAGTCCTATAACTGTTTACTTAGGTACGTCAGTATGACATCTGATGCAAGGTACACCATTTATTGAAATGAATGCATTCTAATCATATTCATATTTATTTACTTAAAAAAAAAATAAATAAATTATATTATATATATATATACTATATACATAGCCAGATATCAGTTGTGCACTCATCTTAAAACTACATAGTTACACAGGAATTTTTCAATATTTACAGATAACACAAATCAATTTCCAAATCTCCCTCGAGTTTTAGAAATTTAAAAATTCTCTTAGGTTGTTCCTAAGAGAAACTATTTAGGAAACCTAGAATGATGATAAAATTATCTTCGAACTATTTACAATCGTCATGGTTAGGGTCATGTAAAAAATATATGTCAATCACTTTCATATGAGACTACTTAAATCTATCAAAACAACATCTACTTAACTCCATTTCACCAAAACAAAAACTATTTTAATTAGGATTACCTGTAAATTATATATTAACATACAAAGGTTTTGTGTTATATTGGGTACTATCATATATAGCTTTTGTTCTATTAGCACCATCAGTTACTAATTTGAATAGTGTATAAGTACTTTTATTATGCAGTGTCGTGATCATGCTTAAAATTCTTTTAACTTTGTATCTCTTTATTCATTTTACTTCAACCTCATTCTGGCAACTCCTGCGACAGCGCTGGAACCATGTGTATTGGCGTTTGTTTCCTTTACATTGGACAATTTCAGCAATGTGGAAAGGGGAGACCTGCTGCATGGGTAACAGCTTCTCCTCCATATCGACCTACCCAAGGCTTTGCACCCTGGAGAGGACACTGCAGCCTTGGCAACCAGAGCGCAACTCCATAGTCTCCTGAGACTGCAGGATAACTACTATTATATTGAGTAAAATAAAATGAATAAAGATATGCAAAGTTGAAAGAATTTTTTTTAAGCTTATTCATGACACTGCATAATAAGAGTACTTATACACTATTAAAATTAATAACTGATGGTGCTAATAGAAATAGCTAATAGAACAAAAGTGGCCAGGGCATGGAAAGCTCGGGTAAAAAAAAATCAAGCTTTGAATGAAGGGGAACATAAATGACCTACACAAACTATATGATTTGTCATAATTACAAAAGAAGTGTAAAATTATTTTTGTTATATCTTTGTGTCCATATTTACTACTACGGTACATGCATGAAAAAAAAATAAAAAAAAATATGGGAATGTCTATGCCGAGTTGTTACACTGTATCAAGATGCCTTGGTTCAGCGGACATCATATTCTGTTGCATCAAGATTTATTGTGCTAACCAATTCTTTCTGCTTCAACAAGGGGTTCCATTTTAGAACAAGCCATTCTATAACGGTTGCAATTAATGTAAGCATATAAATAAATAGATCAAAATATTATATACACAGTGAAACTTCCAAAATTAGAACCTAAAATACATATTGTGGATTCCCTCTAAATAACAGATCAAATCCACCTACTGGATCTTCCCTCTGAAATTTGAGACAAAGGTGCGCGCTGTCTGCCGCTCTCACCAGCAGGGAGCCAGTCAGCCGAGCGGACAGCACGCTGGACTTGTGATCCTGTGGTCCTGGGTTCGATCCCAGGTGCCGGCGAGAAACAATGGGCAGAGTTTCTTTCACCCTATGCCCCTGTTACCTAGCAGTAAAATAGGTACCTGGGTGTTAGTCAGCTGTCACGGGCTGCTTCCTGGGGGTGGAAGCCTGGTCGAGGACCGAGCCGCGGGGACACTAAAGCCCCAAAATCATCTCAAGATAACCAAGATAACGGTGAAATTCATATTGTTGATTTATTATGTAAAGTAACTTCCGCCCAATCAATTTTTCCCCTCATATTTGATCATTTAGTATTCAAAATAATGCCTTAATATTTGGAAATGTTTTACTGAGCTTGTTCTGTACCAGAAATTGTACAAGAGTGTTTGATTATTTTATATTTTATCTATGTGTCTGAAGACCTATTGTGAGGCACAAAGTTTAACAGACAACATGATACATTAGTGTAACCGCATTATGCTGCTTTTGCATTGCCAAAACCAGTTTTAGAAAGGGGCCTTCAAATGGTCTTAAATGAGAAACTATGAAACACTGTATTTTAAGCTCCTGCCAGGGCAGCCACTATCACTGTGCATGTGTGGAAGGCATGTAATTCCCCCTAAAATGAAATGTTAATGTATGTAAAAAGAAGTCAAATTAAGAATATAAACATTCTCAAGTACTGTACACTTTGCGATTGGAAAATATCAAAATGTGTTAAATGTAGAAATCCAGTCTGAACTTCTACAAGGGGTTATTAGAAATATAATTTGAAACCCCAGAAACATTGGAATGTTAGCAGGAACAATGAATGCAAAGGGGGGGGGGGGGAACGCGACCATTGTGTGCTGGGTTGGGTCGTCAGAAGGAAATGGAAGCCTTCACCACGTTTCTGGATTTTGTGCAGGCCCTCCATTGTATTAAAAGTTTGGGGGGGGGGGGAGCGGCTTCAGATACAGTACTATCAATTTATTCAAGTACTGTATCTGTGTTTATTAGTGCGGTGCATATTATAGAATAGAATAGGATTCTGGAGATATTGTTTGATTTTCTTGTCTAGCTGACACCTGGCAATGATTATGAATCTCACCATATGTGTTTTGAATAATAAATCATATAAAACATCTAGTACTATTTAGTCTGTTGTGGCTAGACTATACTAATGGTGGAGAAACCACTACGGCTTTAATTACGTAGTGCCGTTATTGTTAAGAGTTGGTGTTGGTCTCTTGAAGACAAAAAAATTGATACCTAGATCTTTTCAGTGTCTTTTCTCGGAATCTGTCTGAAGCCATCCTAATATCAGTATGAATTGCAATACAGGATTTAAAAACATTTTTTCTTGCAATGAATAATTGCTTGTTGCTTGTAAATTGTACTGTATATTTATCTATGCCTGGGGGATTCTTAGCCTCTCTGAAAATCGAAGTACTGTACTGCTACTTGCCAAGTATTGCTATATTGTTGTGTTTCTTGATGGGCTCTGGCATCTCTCAGTTCCTACTTTAGAATCCATTCAGATGCAAAGTTCAGTAAAGTATAACAAAGATAAATTCATTTGGTATAAAATAATCTTAAGGCTACGAAATAAAAACGAAAATAGTTTTAATGTCATTATTTACCCTAGCATAACTATTTTTCTGCCTTGTGTTAATCTGTCAATTTTAGCAATGAGAAGGATGAGTTCTCCCATCAAAGTACATCTCATATAAAGTCTAGGTTGTGTGATCATTTGATGGCATTGATTTGTACCCCCCCCCTCCCCCAGAGGAGGATTCAACGTTCCCATACAGACTGTAACTATACAGTATCTCTTGTACGAGTATTCAGCAAGAATAGGAAAATATATCTGTACCCTTACACAAGACTGCATTACAAATGGGAAGAGAATTTTGTCTTTAATTTTGTATTTTTTTTAATCAAATCTTTGTTTATATATTAGTTGTCTGTGTATGTGTAAACGTGTACTGTATTGTATTATTTATTAACAGAAAAACCTAGATTTTTTGTTGTATGATAAATAGACCAAAAATTTTAATTAATGTATTTGGAAGTTAAGTTTGTTTATAATCCAGATCAGGTACAGAATGATATGATCAGGATTTAGGAGGTTCCACTATACAGTTTGTACGGCTCATTATTAATATATATACTGTACATATATACATATGTATATATACTGTATACACATAATTACTGCTATATAATATACAAATAATTTATTTATTTTATAGTCACATTTATGAAATGAAAGTTAAAGTCTATGAAATAATACTGATATACAAAGGTTAAATGGCCAGGCATTATAAGAAACAAAATAACAAAAGCTATACCTTGTGTCGCCCCATTTTGCTAAGCATTCTCCATGGAACGAGTGGTTGCACAATATTGTCAGAATTCCATCCACCGATTCATCCATCCTCTCGAGACACACTGGGCAGTTGGGTAGTTCGGTGTGGCCTGCGATATAGACATTAACTTAGAAACAATTCATTTTGCCAGTTACTAATTAGTAGATATTAAAACAACAAACTACCGGAAATATTTATAGCCAATTGCTAATACATGTAATCTTAAAAAGTACAAGTGTACTGTATAATGAAATTAAAAATTGATTTTTTATCAATACCATATTAAACGATCAAAATTTTTTTCAGCTTCCACAAAACCATTCAATGTTTTTTCATTAGTCCGAGCACAGCTACGGTAATTTTGAAATATGTACCACCAGTTTTTCTGACCATCATAAACAATTTCTTCCATGACAGTTATCCGCCTTAATTCACCCACAACTTTTTTTTTGTTCAGGTGCTAGCTTTTTTAGCCAAAGCAATTTAATATGAACAGCTTATTACCAGGGATAGGAAGGCCTCCATTCTCAGATTCTTTTGTGGTCTCAACACGTGCAACATATACCAGACGGCAGATGTCTGGCTCAATGCTATTGTAACGTTGGCCATTAAAAGTATTGTAGAACATATCTGCATCACTCTGAAACATGAAAAGTATTAACAAAATATTTTAAAAGAAAAAAGAAAGACCTCTGTTAATTTGCAACATATTATGTATTGCACTGTGCAAATAGCTCTTGCTTTCAAGATAAAAAAGTGAGCCGACACACGAAGGGCTGCTTACACCTGTCGGATTACTCTCACATTGTCAACAGAAGGCTCTCTTGCAAAATAAAATTTCATTCTAATATAATCTTACGTACCATAATATGTATGTGTTAAAACAAAATTTGAAAAAACTTTATCCCATAAATCTGTGTTGATATTTTTATGCAAAGAGAAATAAAACACTATTTTGATTTCTAATACTGTACTGTACTTGAGAAAACAGTACCTTTGATTTACAATACGTAATAATTTTTGCATAATCAGTTATTTAAAGTGGTGTATGCCTGTGGTAAACGTCATTTCTGAGCAAAACATTGTCAAACATGCCAGACCAACACAATGAGAAGGATTTTTTTTTTTTTTACTCATACACGAGTGGCCATTTGATAACATAGCAACAACATAAGTGGTAAACACTGCTAAAACTGATGAGATGTCCAAGATGAAAATATTAAATTCTACTAACATTGTAATGTGGGGCACATCATTTTGTGAACATAATGCTCAAATCCTTGACATTTATAATACAGGTTGTAAAATACGTCCAGTATATAAGGAGTACTATTAAGAAAACATTAATAAGATGTTGATATCATCTGCTACTATCTTAGATAGTAGCAGATGAAAACGTAGCCAAGAGAAATGCTGTTGAATATCACTTACAGAGAAGACTCCCTCCAACAATGGATATTTTTAACCCCAAGACTACTTTTCAAACAGCTCTAGCCATCTCCCTATGCTCATAAAATTTTTGTTTTAAATATTTTATCTGTGGTAATATATAGTACCTGTACTGTACTAAGATATGAAATGAATGGAAAAATAGTTACAAAACCCTTCACAATATGATATTGATTTGACTCATTATCAACGACTATATTTTGTGCAAATTATGCCACACTGTGCATGGAAATACTGTATAGGAAAGAAAAACAAATAAATTCAGAGTTCAATCGAATGAAATGACACTTTATGGAGTGGATCTCTGAGCTACTCACCTGGGAACATCAAGGATCAAAATCTGGCACCTTCTGGCAATGGGAGCCCCACAAAAGTAATTTGAAGAATCACCACCAAAAAAAGTAGAGCCCAACAAAACGAGCAACTGCACAAATAACAATTAGATATCAGATATCACTAGATATCAGCACTCATTTGCCACAGTGGAGTTTGGAGGTTGTTGCATGGGCAGCATGTGAACAAGGAAGTTAGCTGGTCGGTGCCCATGGGTAGCCAAGGCAGCCATCCAGTGGCGAGCAAGAATTGCTAGAGATTGCTTACTGCTAATAAGCAGGTGCATGGTTCATATCATATGATATCATGCAGTTGTTATTTTTGTGCTCCATCTTTCAGGTGGTTTTCCCTCGGATTACCATGGTGCTCTTATTACCCCCCAGACTTTCCTTGCCTCTTGAGGCGGCCAGATTTTGGGCCTTGCTTCCAATAACTGGATATAAATCTTAAGAGGTTAGTCTGGAGCCCAAGGTTTACAGATTTTTGGGTGGCAAGATGCTGGGGATGTGAAGGGCATTAGGAGAATAGAAACAATTATTAGGAGAAAGTGTCAAGCCATTTTAATTATATAGCACTTGGAAGGAATCAGGATAAGGATTTGGGATGTCACGGGGGGAGGGGAAGGAATGGTGCCTAACCACTTGGACGTTCGGGGATTGAACGCCAACCTGCATAAAGTGAGACCGTCGCTCTACCGTCCAGTCCAAGTGGTTGGGCATTGGGAGAGAGTGGCCGAGTTGTCGTTACTGATTCTGCGACGCGTTCATCTCTAATTACTGGCCTTGGCATTACTGTTACGCTGTGGATTGGAGGCAATTTTTGGGCTTGGTTATCATTAATAAGTTGAATGTAAACGGATTTATAAAGATTGGAAAAAAATACAATGAACCCTTTGAGATTATAATTGATCTAGCCAGTTGCCATCCATATGCACAATTCAACAAATACTAGAAAACATACACAGTATTCTTATGCTTATTATAAAAAAAAACTTAAAATAACAAAAATACAGGTTTTCTTGGTGCCACTCATGACATCAGCCACACTGTAAGGGTTAATGAGAGTTTTATTTAAATATAGTAAAACAGAACAAACTATTATGAATATTAAAATTTTGTTAAGTTAAACCGAAACATTGCCTCACTTGTGTTCTAAACCTTAAGAGAACCATATACTGGTTGGGCGTGGGATCACGAATGATGCGCATATGTTGTATCACAGAGTAACAGGGCGCTGTAAACTGCAACAAGTCGTGGATTGTCATGGATGTCGGAACTGCCAGCATACACAACATCTCTGATCGTGAGTCTGTCTCGTCCAAACTTGTCTTGGTGCTGTAAATTAAGAAATTGTAATTTGTGTTACCACACTCATAAGTTCTTATTACAAAACAGTATACAAAAATCATGCCTAAAGATCGAAACCTAATTTATTACTACAAAACATGCATTTATGTAAAAATAATTAATAATGAACTAAACTTAAAATAACAAAACTTGTGGTTTCCACCCTACACAATGTCTGCTATCTTGATTTCATGCATGCATATATCTAGACATAATATACCCCCTTTAAGAGTAGGGAGGTCGGTACAGTGAAGCCCACTTTAACAGAATCCGCTTCTTCAGAGAGCTGGATGCACTGAAAGCAATGACTTCCAGTGGTTCACAGTGACACTGGAAAAATATTGGAAAATATGGTGTAGCATGTGTGTGTACTCATGGACCAAAATCCGTACAAAATACTGCCACATACTTCACATAAATGAAGTCTGTTAAATGATACGAAATGCTCTTTTCTGAGTGGCACTTCAGTGCTGCTGGAGCCATTAGCCAGGGTCAATTCAAGACAATTGCTCACATGCCAAGCTGAAGTTGACTTTCACCTAAGTATTTTTTTTTTTTAAGTAGTTGTCCCATTTAGTCAGGAAGTGTTCATTCTCTCGTTCTCTCCCGCTTTTTTTTGCTTGCATCTTGGCAGCAAAGTGATTTGCCAGTAGATCAGCCGTCTCTTGACTGCTGGTTACAACAGTTCCATCCTCCTCGGTTTAGTGGCAGGATTGTGTCCTCAGGACATAAAAATATTGTGTCCTCAGGACACAGTCAAGGAACGAGCTCGATATGTGGGTTGGAAAGAGGTTGAAGACTGCTAAGAGTTTATCAAAATCCCTCTATATATGAGATACTGGTTGAGGTCACTGACATTTATATGTGCTAACAGTTGCGCTGCATTATCAAGGAGTTTAGGTTGTACATCAGGCAACTGATTAGAAAAGTACCCTGCCATTGAGGTCTGTACATTGTACATAAGAGTATTGATGCACGAGGATTTATGCAAATTTTGAAAAACACTTTCAAAATCTATCCATCTATCTACCTACCTACCTCTCTATCTACATAATAATGTAAACAAATATTGTCTATAATTTTTTAAGAAAAATACAAATGAAAATACAAAATATTTAAATCTTGATTTTAAAAAAATGTGGAATGGGTCTGAAATTATATAATCTGTATATTTAGTCACACTATTGTATATTCATTATTATTGTCACCATCATTGTCCTACAGTACAGTATTTACAAATTTCTTGGGAAAAAGACAGGGCAATATAGGAAAAAGAGGGTTCAAGACATTTTCCAAAAAGACTATCTTCCCAATCACAATACTATACACACAATATTGTATATTTGTTAATAATGTATAAAACATACTTCTCTTTATAAAGATGAAGAATTCCATGTGCTACATCAACCATAGGGTTCCCAGAGACAAAGGAAACGCGATCCTTCACAGAACGGCCTCTTCTTCCACTACTGCCATCTTCACTTAATCCGGGAGTGCCTTGAGGAAATAAATTGTAAGTGAATTATGTGAAAAGTTATGTAAACACAACTTGGCAAACTAAGAAATGAGAGAGAAATGCATTAAGAAAAACCTATGAATGTTACATCCACATTTAGAATTACTGTAAATTTTGTAATGCCCACATAGCTACAATACCTTCTTTGCTGCTGGATGCACATGGTGTGGACTCCTTGCTAGTTCTTGGTAGTACTCCCCCACAACTTAAATTCCCTGTTTCTGAGCGTGTGTCTACACCTGCATTTTCCATAGAGCTACCTTTCGCCTGGTGGTCCATACTGAAATCTTCACTGCCTGCTGCTGCTGCTACAGCCTGAAAGAGCAATGCTATTGAGAAACAACTAAAACTGCAGCAATGGTAATTTAATTTACCAAAACTATTCAACTTCATTTTGAATCATTTAAAATAATAATTTCTTTTTTAAAATACAGTACTGTACAAGCATAAAGGAATATTATACTAAAGTTCTAAACTGAAAAACTTAACTAGGTCATAAAGATTAATGTATGTTTAATTCTGAGTAGAGAATGTAGCTGCTCTCAGCATGCAAGCAGCCAAACATTACATACCAGCATATGAGAAAGCAACGTAAGGCTAGAAAATTATAGGAACGTACTGTATGAAATGTACCTCAATATATAGAGCATAATTACTGTACATTGGGAAGAAATGTTAAACAATACAGTATCTCCAAAAGAATGAATCCTCATGAAGAAAGCAAGTGGCAAGGAGAAACCATTATACAGTATAGTACTCTACCTACTTTCTACAATATATGTCGTTAAATCTAGCAAAGCAGATTACATCAGTTATGAGGATGGGGAACTAAATATTACAGTATAAGGCAGAGAAAGAGAGAGAGAGAGAGAGAGAGAAAAAAAAAGACGGCAATTTAAACCTCAATGATGTGTCCTTCCTCAAGCGTTGTTACAGTAATCTGAGTGGGTTGCCTGCGTCCTCGGTGTATTGACAACAGTGTATCCGTCACTAGGGGAGGCCACTCTGATGGGCTCGCCTCACGGTCACTTCCACAGTGTCTATTATGAGATTTGGGAGCTGGAAAGAGAGAGAACAACCTTGAGTTTTTGATTACTATGTAACTTTATATACATGGCATATTGAACATAACTTTTGAAACATTAAAGAGGAGGATTTGGGACACTGTTCAGTTTTAATGTTACCTCTCTATGTTTGATCAGACCACACACTAGAAGGTGAAGGGACGACGATGTTTCGGTCTGTCCTGGACCATTCTCAAGTCGATTGTGAGAATGGTCGACTTGAGAATGGTCCAGGACGGACCGAAACGTTGTTGTCCCTTCACCTTCTAGTGTGTGGTCTGGTCAAATTACTTCAGCCATGTTATTGTGACTCATCGCCTGCTTACCTCTCTATATTTAAATTATTCATTGCATTATTTCTTGTACAATATCTCAACTATATTTTCATATTTTTTTCAACTCCTCATTCTGTTTAGATAGTACTTTTTGTATCTGTGGACCATCATACATATATTAAGGTAATGGACACAAATTGTAGAATTTGGTACTATTCACTTTATTGAGTCTGGAAAAATAAGGATAACCCAAATTTAAATATTCTTAGGCCTAGTATAGCAAATGTATACTATATTAGGCCTCAGATAAGTGTATATTAGGCATAGAAGAGTTAGGCTAGATTAGGTTTTTATTATCAACACACAAAACCTTTCCTGGTGCTGTCCAAATTCAATAGTACCATACTCTATTTTCCAATTGTCCATTATGTCAATATATGTACGATGGTTCACATGGTTACTATAAGCACAGTACTATGCAAAAAAGGAGGATGACCAGGTTTTTTTCCATTCTTTCTAAGCATGTCTGCAGCATATATATCTCTTACTCCATTAAGTCCAATTTCAATGCTCTACTTGTAGTCAAATTTAGAACCCGGCTCAAATGTTTTCCAAGCATGAAAATGTAAAAACGACAATTGTCCAACATATTATTAGACTAAAAATAATAAACCCGATAGGTTTTAGTGGGCAGGTCGATAGTTGGCCTACGTGGGCCTCGATAAATCGCACAGGCCTCCTGTTCCCACCTACAGGAAACAATGTTGTTAGGTTATGCTGTATTGGGTTAGATTACACAGGTTTTAAAATTGATAATAATGATAATAATAAAATATTATTAATGTTTGGTGTGAAGTGACCAATAACTGTAGGCCTAGGACATACACAAATTTCTAAAGGCAGCCTATTCAATACAAAATTAGAATCCTTATAATATGTTAAGCCAGGTTGAGTGAGTAGGCTTTGCCCGAAACGCTTTGCGTAATAGTAACTTAGGCATTGTATGTACTAGCTCTATCTATGAATCCATCAACTTTTGTATTTCACCTTGTATGTATGTACCTTACCTGAATAAATATTTGTATTTTTGTATTTTTTGTATTTTGTAAGGGGGGGGGGGGTGGAAATAAAAATATTGAAGGAAATACAGTATTTTAAAATCCTTACCTAACCCATGCTAACTGAAACCAATCTATAAAGCTCAAATGGTATGTGTTATAATGAGGAGGAGACGACTATGAGGTTACAGTTGTATTGTTGTGAGGTTGAGTAGCAGGTGAGAGGGGTGGGGCGGGGGGAACTAGCCATGACCCCAGTACCCTCACCTTGGTACTCGATGTGCTTGAGCGTCGGGCTGTCGTCAGCAGTCTCAAGCCTCAGCACCACCAGGTTGACTGACATATTTCATGCCTCACCCCCACCCCTACACCCCAATAAAAGGTAAAGTCAGCCACTTCCGAGGAGAGTTTCCTGCACTACGCCTGTGCCCCCCTACCACTAGCAGCGCCCGACCGCAAGTCCGCCTTGTCCCGCACCTCTCCTCAGCCAACCAATAAAAATTAAACGTCGCCCAAGAGTCAATCAAATCTCTATTCCTATTGGTGAAAATTTTACCCAATAAAATGGTCTTGGATGCGCCGCATGACACTCTCGTTACTAGCGTTTTGAGAATCTGTACAACCAATCCGCCAATAGAAAGCCAAATTTTATTTTACACTGCGTTACGATTGGTTGACTTTTGGAGGCACTGTCAGCTTCCCTGAGCCTTCTCGGGGGTCTCTCTAAATGTAAACAGAAGCCCCTAAGACCACTAGAAGAGGCGAGTTTCTGCTGAATTTGTGGTATTTGGAGCATATTGGGGTGAGGTGAGAGGAGGCGGAGGCGGGTCCTGGACACTTGACTCATCACACTCACTGGGTAAGATGAGGCAGGAGGCGGCGACACACTCACGAGGCCTCACCAACCTTGTCATGTGACGTTTGTGTTCCGGGAGTTGTATAGCTGTGGTAGCCGTACTTAGTGCCACAGTGCCACAGTCAGCAGGTGCACGGTTGTTATTGTTGTTGTAATAGATTCAGCTACTCGGAACCAGTTCCAAGTAGCACGGGCTATGGTGAGCCCGTAGCTTACCTGGCACACGAGCGGGGCAAGTAGCACGGGCTATGGTGAGCCCGTAGCTTACCTGCCACAGGAGCAGGGCAAGTAGCATGGGCTATGGTGAACCCGTAGTGAACTTACCTGGCACAGGAGCAGTGTGAAAAAAGTGCACGGTATAAGAGACACATTTATAGCAGGGGTCTATGATATATATATGCTGCATTTTGCATCATTTTGACAAGTGTGCTTTTGACAATTGAGCCATGTACTAATATATATAACATATATACTCTGATTCAGATTTTAAAATTATTATTTGAGTGTGTTTTTCTGGTGATGCAAAAGAGGTAAAGTAACTGCATTTTGGTAATAAAACTACGAGAATACGCGCCACAAAACGTGATACATTACATTTTTGTACATGAAAATGACACCATGTTACTTTGATAATCCATTAATCCATCAAAACTTGTGGCTGTCAATACTGTGCTCAGTCATTGATTGTATCTCTTCGTTTACCCTACTGAATAACGGGTAGATTTTTTAAAAATATTGAATACTTTTATAATAAAGTTATAGAATATTTTTGTATTCATTTTTTTTTTTATAAAAGCTTATGTATATACAGCAATGTGCTGCTACTCTATTCTATATGAAAGATTAAACAATGTAGATCAAAAACTAGCTTTAAGTTCATCTAATATCCCCCATCTCACAGGATGGTTACTCATACATATTAGGGAATAAACTAAATTAAAATAAATTCCTTGCAAATTTGAATATGATACATCAGTTTATAGTAAGATACATCAAATGCTATGCCTAGTGACCATTTTCATAGGTATTTATAGAAAACTCTGGCCTCTTGGAGTGTCGTGGTTTCTCAGTCCTCATACAGTACTTCATTGTTCTGCACCAAATCAAGGTTGTCTTTGATATTTTGCTGGGTAGTGAAGTTCAGCTAAGCCACTGTCTACTCCAAAGGTCTTAAATTCTGTTAGTTTACTGCTCTGGCAGCATTTTTCTCCTAACATGTCCCACAGTTAATATCCATATTTGTGGTTTGTAGCGATTCAGTTAGGTCTTAGCAGTTTGGCACCTTGATGTGCCTAGCCCTCATCTGTGCTGTGGCAATGGGTCCTGCATCCCTGAGATAAACACTTTACCTCAGAGTTCAGTCATTATTTCTGTTCCATATTACTTTGCATGTGTTTTGGCTTGTGAGGGGTAGTGCCTCGCTAGTGTCCAGAGGGGCTCGACCCGCCATCTGGTGGCATTGGGGGCATTCTTTAGATAGATGATTGGATAGCTTTTGTTTGATAAGTACACAATTATTAAGCATTCATAGATGAATTTATAAGTGTTTTGTGACACTTTTTTGTTTCCGACCAGTGACTTGATCTTTGATTCACATGTGCTTTCTGCTCTTTTGTGGAGGAAAGTTGGTATGAATTGGCAATTGTCTTAGGGGAAGGGGGGGAGAGGAATGCCCACAGAACCCTGGCTTGTCATGGTCCTATTGCCAGTGCCACAAGCTAAGGGAGCTATGAAGGAGCCACCAAAATAAGGCCATTTAATTACAAAACAAATTTTCTTGTATACATATTGTACTAAATATACTTAACCTTTAAATTTAATATGCAGTTTCAAATTGTGCATTTTTTCCCAGATATAATATGCATTTCTTCTGCAAATTGTGCACTGTCTGTTCTTGCACAGTACAGTACAGTATTGCAGAACTGTATTATGAAAGATATTGACATGCTCAATATTTTACATTTTATTTGGGAAATTTGTTGATATGTACAGTAGCAGCAACAAACAATGAGCATGTCATACTGTATAAAAGTATAAAGGAACAAAGGAGTTTGTGAGTATTATTATATAAAGGTTTAGTAAGAAGAAAGAAGGAGCAAAGAAAACTGAAGACAGTTTTTCCTATTTATGAATATATCTTATACAATTTAGAGATTAGTTAATAGGTGTAATGTAATAACAATTAGAAAATACAAATTAGAGAAATTAAGTTAAGTATTTGAGTAAAAAAAAATTGTATGTATGTTTTTATTGTATGTTAAATATTAATTTCTGAAAAATCTTTAGAAACAAAATTCTATAATGCACTGTACAGTATTTGAAAAACTCGGGCCAGGGAGGTAAGGTAGGTGTTTTAAACTCGTTCTGCAATGTGTATAAAATTAGTAAAAACAGTGCATTAAAATATCTAACTTGCATTAAAATAGTGCATTAAAATAACTCTTGGCAGATACAGATATCTAACATTTCCTTATTTTCATCACCAGACGGCACAAAATGGATGGTGATGATGCTATAAAAACTCCCATTGAGGAAGTCAGTGGGGGTTGGTTGCACCAGCTAGTCGTATATGCTGCCAGGTATGGACCCTCTTAATTTTTTCAGAATACAGTATGTACCTGATTGTCAAAATCAATGTGTGCTAGTCCTTGCCTGTGTTTGTTGAGAGTCTGGGTCAAATAAATTTATGGTAGATTTTTGACACTGCAAATCTAGTAATACCGGGTCATTTGAGGAATTTCCTGGATTCAGTCAGTGTCGCATCGCCCAAAGATCCTACAAAATTAAATAACGTTCATCAAATTCTCACTGTACTGCTGCTTATAATAATTACTAACATTACATCTTTCATTTGAGTATAAAACATAGACTGCGGTACGGTATTACAGTGAACAATTTAATACTAAAATGGAATTGTTAATTAATGGAATAAGATTGTTTTAAAAATTTACTAATTTAGACTGAAAATTTTACTATTTAAGTCATAAAATGGTGAAGGCACTGCTATTTCATATCTTGTTAAGTGCTTTATGTGATTATAAGGAAAGCATACAGTATAAAACTTTTTAATGAAAGCTAGTGATAGGCATGGGTCACAGAGAAATTGAACACTAGATCAAGGTGTGAAAACAGCACTTGTCATAATAGAATGAGTAAAATAGTGCAGATTTTTTGTTTTTTTAAGTTATTCACAATCTATGCATTTTTCATAAGTGTTATGAAATGAACGGAAAGTAGGGAATGTACGAGTACTGTAAATTATTGTGAACAAGTGCAAAAATTACCTGTATAGTTAACCTCTTCGGGTGAATTTAGAGGGAAGAGATGCTAGAGCAATTCAAGGTACTGTATAGCGACTGATTCAAGTTGACTGCATGTGTCTTCATGAGACTGTGACAAAGCAGAATATTCAGATAGCTATGAACAGAGGCAGTGAAGTATGTATGAGGAACAGAAAGTAACAATGCTGTTATGAGGCAAGCACAGGATTTAGTTATGCAGTTCAAAATGCTTTTGAGTTCGCCTTTTAATTTTAACCATATTACTATCTTCATAAATATTTGTTTTGCAGAAATCCTTGGGAATTTTGCTGGTACCTTTTACTCTGTCTTTCACCCATGTTCTTCATCTCTGCTATATTGTCCTGGAAACTGGCAAAAGCACTCGAGGCACAGGAAAAGGTAATTTCATAACCTATACCATGTACACGATTTGTTGTTGTATGTCCCCCTAATAGTACATGCTTGGGAAATGAATGGTTAAAGCACATGACTGTCATATTAAGAATGTACAGTAAGTTACATTTTCAATTGTGATCAGTTTTTGTGGTACTGTTTGGATAATGGATCATCCTGTATGCTTTGTAACTGCTTCTTAAAATATTGTACAGTAAAAGTGTCTTGTATTGCATCATTCTCTAGTACAGTACAGTGTTTATATTTCTGTGATCAGATACTGTATGTTCCTTTAACTAAACAGCCTAGTTGTTGCGCAATATCTTTATCTCGGTATATTTCTATCTGTTTTGTTATGCACACCTGCACCACTCTCTTTGCCATCTCTCTACATCAAAAACACAGTACAGTATATACAGTATACAGTGGTGGAATTAGTATATTTTTTGGAGCATGAGGAGTGATACGTGTATTAACATGAAGTCTTGATTACTATCTTGGTCTTAAATTCCAGTCTTGATGAGTTTGCTTTTGCCATTGAATCTTGTGCATTTTGTTCCCTACGCTTAATCTGAATACAAGTAAGACTGTATCTACCATGAATTTAATGTATGATCTAGTTTTTGTCATTTATTTGTCTGTGGAGTTTTGGCAGTTCTTGAATTGCAGAAATATGTTATACTGTAGTGTTATTGAAAACAGTACTTGTTAGGATTTCTTTAACTGTCTATTAGTCCAGCTTAGAACCGCGTATCCTCTTCTATCCTACTGGCAAAATTTGGGACGGGTTTGACGTTTTCCGTTTATATTACACTACAGTACAGTATATCAATTTATTCAATTGGCTATTCAGTTACTATAAATCATCATGAAAATAACTTTATGTATACTTCTTTGAATTATGGTACATTTTCAAGGACTGAAGCAATAAGCCACAGGGATCAGGATATCTGTTTTAAGATGACTGTTTGCTACAAGTAAATATGCAATATTTTGCCCTTGTTTTATGGTGTACTTAATCATGTCTGTGGATGGGTGTTTGTCGTGATGAAGGGTCATACAGGAATATGGTGAGGACATGTAACAGGTGTTCCTGTATCGGTCAGGGGAAGACCTGTAGGATATTGATCAAGTGTCTTCTGTATTTAGATTGTTTTTATTACTAAACAAGTACTGATTTTAGTGATATTTTTCCAGGCATTAGTAATGAGAAGAACATACAGTAGCGTGCTCTTGCAACAACACGCAGCAACCATCACCTTGCCTGAGGGCACTGAAGGGAAGATGCACCATATAACAAGTGAATCTAAAAAAAATAATTAAAACAAATTTTATAAAATATTAAACAAGAAAAATAAAAGTCAGTTGTTTAGTAAATCAAGCCTCAACATATATTTGGAAGCCAAGAGAGAAGGGGGCATTCTCAGTGGTGTGGCACGGTGGGTGATAGGCACATTGCCCGGTCAGTCATGTTAAGGCCAGCGCAGGTTGGGTAACCGGATGGGCATCCTCGCCTTATGGGGAAACCTCGATTAGCCTAACACACTTCATATACTTCAACAATGGTATATCATACTGTACCATATACTGTACTCTATTTTCTCAGACACAAATATTGGTAGAAAAGATTAAGATTAAGTTCTTTCCGTTGTTGTTTTAAAGTGCACTTGATGAGGTAGTGACTAGTTGTCAGCAGAGTTTTGGTTTAAATCTCTGGGAAGACTTAGAAGAATTTGTATTGAAAAATAGAAGTTCCAAAAGGATTCTTCTATACTAGATATGCTCTTAAAATGGGGGTTGTGGCTCGGTTAATGATGTTCACATCAGTCAAATTAAACACAACTGGGTCTCTCCAGTAACTGGATAAGTGACTGCAGACAGCTTCACACTGGGCTCTAGAGACCTCAGTAAGCTGAATAGACCTTCTTTCCATTATTATTAAATCCCAGTACTGTATAAAAGTCCAGATTAGGTTATCAAAATTAGAAAAACAGATTCAAAGGCTTTATTCATAAGAATTAATCATTACATTTCTAGTTGGTGTACAGCAGTGTAAATCAAATTCAAATTTTTATGCATCAATTGATGAACACTTTGCTTACAAATTGAATAATAATATAAATTGGTAAAACAGTGTACAGTATTAATAGTAATGACAACAGTAATAATAGGAACTGAAACTGAGATTTAAATTAAAAAAAAATTATGTATTCATGTGTAGGTGTTTATATTTACAGTATACAAATTCAAGAAAGTTTAGTTCATAAAATGTTTGTGCAATTATAAAGGACTTGGTTTAAAATATATACTGTAATACAATAATCATTTAATAAATAATATTGTATTACAGCATTAATAGCCTAAAACTGGCCATTATACAGTAATTATAAATTATAAACATGCATAAGCAAAGCCTCATTTATAACGATGCAGAGAGAGTGAAATAAATTTGAAAGATAGCTAACAAACTAAATATAACACTGGACCCCCCCCCCCACGGCTACTCACACTCCCAGTTCAGAGGCAGAGAATCAAAAACAAAAACGAAACCGCCAACCAGAGGAAGGGTGGGTGCCAGGGAGCCTCCGGGGGGCTCGCCCAGAAAATGGCGTTTCATTACATTCTATTGTTTTTTATTTTTTTTGTATAATAGTAGCTTCATTAGTTTATGTAACTCCTGTCTCCACAATTGTACATTACACTTAAGTTCTTTGTGTAGACAGTATATTCTTTTGAATAAAAATTTTAATTTGAAAGTATTGGTAGGTTAGAGTGATTGATACTTTACTTCTTTGGAGAAACAAAACTAATTTTAATTTTTTAAAAATATAATGAATAAACAAATTAATTATGGTCATTTATATTACTGCATATGCAGGTGATGTCACTGAAATTGCAAAACATTGGTAAAACATCTTACCATTTTAGAATTGATATTTAATTTGTTTAATGTCCTCATATGGCGAAGTTTTATTTTGACATTGTATAACAGTCTTCTGGCTTGCTACCATCTATTAGTAACTTTATATAATAAGGTTGAAGTAGAGGGGTAACAAGTACAGGACATAATCTGCTATTTATCTATCTGAACAGTAGCATTTCCTGTGGGGTATGTAGTGAAAATTATGTCCCTACAGAAAGACATTCAGAAAATATCCAATTCATGTGCAATGAATACAATAATTTTTACTTTGTATTTCTCTAGGATAAGACTCGTAGAGACAAGAGGAAAGCCAACATAAGCAAGGTGAAGCGAGGGAAAGCCAATTGATAGGCAGTGAGCAGCAATGAATTATTCTCGCTCGCTCTCTCTCTCTTTGGCTGACTGTCACAAAGCAACTTTCAACTGTGATTTGGGTCATATAGTCTATAGCCTGTGTAGGAAGCTTGACTCCCTAGTGTAGCATTTATATTATGCTGAAGCATTTTTCACATTTTGGTACATATTCGATGATTATTTCTGTTTTAATTAAACAAATTTAATTTTTTTAAGGATAATAAGTTTTTATATCAGAATTTGATGTGCATAATGTATTTGAATTTTTTCTCAGTAAAAAATGGCAATCAATTAATATCATTTGTTGATCTAATTGTGTGTAGCTGTGAATATTGAACCAACCTTCATAAGTAACGTTATGTAAATCCAGTACTGTACTTATCTCTTATGTATTATTCTCTGCACAAATAACCGACAGCCTTGGCCAAATGTCTTCAAAATGGTAACAAGTATATGGCAATATATCAGCTCTTAAAATCTTTGCATCTCTTAATAATTTGACGGAAAATAGTACTCTTCAAGGTAAACTAAGCCAAGTCATGTGAATTACCAAGGGATGCCTAGTCACTAGGTATAGGACTGCTGCATTAGAGCCCATATTTGATTAGTTTTATTACTGTTTAGTCTTAGCTAAGCTGATAAATCTTGCACTAGTTAAGGAAAGATTTCTATTTGTGAATAGTTCATGCTCTTTGATTTTTATTTATTTTTTAACATGCATGAAAACCAGGTTAAGCCATAAATGCCTGGTGTTTTGCAAACTAATAGAGAGGCCAAATTAAAAGTAATCTTCCATGGTTTGTGTGTGTGTGTTTTTTTTTTTTAACTGTAGATGGTGTGAAAAATAAGCGAATCTAAAATGGATGTTTTTTTTTTCTCCCCTTTTATTAAGCATCTGTAAAAAGAGAGTTGAAGTTGGTCGATATGGTTATGCTCCATTCGTCTTATAATTGATAAAATATCTAATGGTGCTTTCACTTTTTCATGGTCATATAAATATTATGTATATACAGTATGTACATAATATTTACAAGCAATATACTGTGTATATATAATGTATATATATAATATATATTATACAAATATGTAAATGTATGCAAGCATGAGTATGTACACACACACACCAGTGTCGGCTAATTTGTGCACTATTAAGAAGTAACAAGTTCCACAAATTGTTAGAAAATTCAGTTGTCACTAATGTGTAAAGAACTGGGAGGCTTTTGGAGATACAGTACATGTCTATTCACATGATACTCCTTTGTGCATTAGAAAAAAGTGCTTTACATTGATGAAACTGTACAATTCTTCTCGAACATTCCTTGGTTTCACCTCACGAGATAATACTGTAATTGCAGTAGTTAGCTTTAACATCATTTTTCTCGGTAATTTGTATTTCATTGCATTATATCTTTAATGATATAATTGGAATCATGTTTAATGCAAATAAGGTTTTGTGTGTGTAAGGTATTATAGTGTACTGTACAATATTTTGTTGCTCTTTTAGCAAGCTGGATTCCCATGCTATGCACAAGAATCCCATCTTAATTTTCTGCAAGCACCAATACATGATTTATATTATCATGATTTTCTTTTGTTTTAACCTTTGTTGTTGTGTATCTGGAACACAGTGGCCTCTGTTGCTGTGTAACTGGAACACAGTGGCATCTGTTGCCGTGTATCTGGAACACAGTGGCTTCTGTTGCTGTGTATCTGGAACACAGTGGCTTTTGTTGCTGTGCTTCTGGAACACAGTGGCTTCTGTTGCTGTGTATCTGGAACACAGTGGCTTCTGTTGCTGTGTATCTGGAACACAGTGGCCTTTGTTGCTGTGTATCTGGAACACAGTGGCTTCTGTTGCTGTGTATCTGGAACACAGTAGCTTCTGTTGCTGTGTATCTGGAACACAGTGGCATCTGTTGCCGTGTATCTGGAACACAGTGGCTTCTGTTGCTGTGTATCTGGAACACAGTGGCTTTTGTTGCTGTGCATCTGGAACACAGTGGCTTCTGTTGCTGTGTATCTGGAACACAGTGGCTTCTGTTGCTGTGTATCTGGAACACAGTGGCCTTTGTTGCTGTGTATCTGGAACACAGTGGCTTCTGTTGCTGTGTATCTGGAACACAGTAGCTTCTGTTGCTGTGTATCTGGAACACAGTAGCATCTGCTGCTGTGTATCTAGAACACAGTGGCCTCTGTTGCTGTGTATCTGGAACACAGTGGCCTCTGTTGCTGTGTATCTGGAACACAGTGGCATCTGCTGCTGTGTATCTGGAACACAGTGGCATCTGCTGCTGTGTATCTGGAACACAGTGGCATCTGCTGCTGTGTATCTGGAACACAGTGGCATCTGCTGCTGTGTATCTGGAACACAGTGGCATCTGCTGCTGTGTATCTGGAACACTTCTGTTGCTGTGTATCTGGAACACAGTAGCATCTGCTGCTGTGTATCTAGAACACAGTGGCCTCTGTTGCTGTGTATCTGGAACACAGTGGCCTCTGTTGCTGTGTATCTGGAACACAGTGGCATCTGCTGCTGTGTATCTGGAACACAGTGGCATCTGCTGCTGTGTATCTGGAACACAGTGGCATCTGCTGCCGTGTATCTGGAACACAGTGGCTTCTGTTGCCGTGTATCTGGAACACAGTGGCTTTTGTTGCTGTGCATCTGGAACACAGTGGCTTCTGTTGCTGTGTATCTGGAACACAGTGGCTTCTGTTGCTGTGTATCTGGAACACAGTGGCCTTTGTTGCTGTGTATCTGGAACACAGTGGCTTCTGTTGCTGTGTATCTGGAACACAGTAGCTTCTGTTGCTGTGTATCTGGAACACAGTAGCATCTGCTGCTGTGTATCTAGAACACAGTGGCCTCTGTTGCTGTGTATCTGGAACACAGTGGCCTCTGTTGCTGTGTATCTGGAACACAGTGGCATCTGCTGCTGTGTATCTGGAACACAGTGGCATCTGCTGCTGTGTATCTGGAACACAGTGGCATCTGCTGCTGTGTATCTGGAACACAGTGGCATCTGCTGCTGTGTATCTGGAACACAGTGGCATCTGCTGCTGTGTATCTGGAACACAGTGGCATCTGCTGCTGTGTATCTGGAACACAGTGGCATCTGCTGCTGTGTATCTGGAACACAGTGGCATCTGCTGCTGTGTATCTGGAACACAGTGGCCTCTGTTGCTGTGTATCTGGAACACAGTGGCATCTGCTGCTGTGTATCTGGAACACAGTGGCATCTGCTGCTGTGTATCTGGAACACAGTGGCATCTGCTGCTGTGTATCTGGAACACAGTGGCATCTGCTGCTGTGTATCTGGAACACAGTGGCCTTTGTTGCTGTGTATCTGGAACACTGCAACCTCTGTTATCATATAGCTACAATTATTGTCATAAGCTAAAACTTGAAACTTTTTATGATTATGGCTACAAATACCGTGTCTGGAAGTTTAGTATAGTAGCGTGTATACCTTAAATGTATTTCTGCATTAGTTGTCATAATTTTTGAGGTGTTGGACGCAATGTACACACTTGTGGTAAATGAATAGCTTGTTGTACAGGTTTGATGTGCTGTACCATTGTGTAATAGTTGGAGACTTGATAGGTAAGTAACAGTTGAAATAATTTGATGATAATTCTAATTTTCATTTGATATTTGTATAGAGTAAGAATATTATTTTTATTAAAGTTTTGATGGTGAATAAAGGTATTATAAAGTAAACTTGTGCATATTGAACTTGACGGGACAGTATTTGATTTTCAGTGATAAAATTAATGTTTTATAATGCAGTATAGTTATTAAAGAATGGGAGTTTCACATTTTATAACAAAAAAAAAATGCCTTCTCTTCAATTTTGTAATTACTGTAATGGTAAATGAGAGAGAGAGCAGTGATTTGTAAATGTTGTCAATATTTATCTAGTTTTCCAACACTGCAGATCACATCTAATTATCTAGACTAGTCACATTTATTACTGGCTTTTTAAAAAGGGGATGTGTTTTGACCTCAGTTACTCTATACTGTATTCAAATATAAATCGTGAGATTGAATGAAGCTTTTGGTGTATCTTTTATGTATTTTTAGTAAATATGGGTTGAAATATTTGTACCGAATATTTTTTGTTAATGTTATACAGTATACTGTATTTGCTATTTATTTTTCATTAAATTTATTTTTCAGCTATACAGTTTATGCAGTCTACCCTAATGGTACTTTTAAATTGCAATCAAAACGTGCTAGAATTTGCTACATGTTTTATATTGCAATGAAAAGTATTATGTATTTCTGTCTTAATTTTAAGATATGATGCAACTATGTATAATACATATACTGCACTGTACTGTAGCACAAAAAACATATATATTGGTGCTCCTATTAGAAAATTGAAAATTTTCACGTGAAATATGATGATGTATCAAAAGCGTAGGGGTAGTAAAAGTGCAGGGTGCACATTAGTTGCACGATAGTCATGGGACGTATTGCATTGGGCGCATTTTGAGGTTAAAGTTGCTAATACAGCATTTGTTTCTTTACAGTTATCAGCCAATTCAAACACCATGTCAATACATCTGCTGAGTGCTACTTTGAAAGTATATTTCATAAAACAAAGTTACTGGACAATTCATTGCCAAGAGTAATACAATATTTGACAAATACATTATCGAAAGAAAGTTATTTATTACATATATCTCCTGTTTTAATATTGTACTTAAAATTTGGTAATATAAAGTGGCCTGCAAAAATTGTCACGGCTCCAGATAACTGTTACTCATCTACTGGCAATTTATTGTAAAATCATATTCTTTTTATTTTCTAAACTCTCAATTTGCACAGTTTTCTGCAAATTTGTTACCACCCTCAGGCCAGGAAAGGTAATTGCATATGAAATTTACAATGCCTTTTCCTGGTCACAGCTTTTGAG